AAATAAATCTGTTTTTCATTCATGCAGTGCCTACATGAAAAAAAAAATATCAGAATAAGTTGAAATTCTAAAATAGAAACAATTTTCACTACTCCTGCCTACAATCTATTTATTTATTAGTGATGTAAATGGTACCTTACAAATAAATTGAAATGGTAAAGGAACAGTTACCAATATATACAAGTAATAATATGATCCAATTAATTCATGAAAATGTTTAAGATCAATTTTAACTGTATTTTCAATAATTCAGAAAATTGTTTGGGCTTTGTAGTAATGACAGTATTAAGTACTGTGAGCTGTAATAGAGCAAAATTAATAAACTTTATAAAATTAACCTTTAATTAATTTCTATTTGTTCAATAAACTTTATTTCTATCAAAGAAAATGAAAGAAAACAAAGCCCGATGTTTACTTTTATGCAACTAGATGAAATCCCGCGCAAGCGCGGGGAATTGAATTTATACCACTACCAACAGAAAATATATTGTAGTTCTCTACTGACAGCTTACAGGCTTATAGCAGGAACAAATACTTTGTTCAAATCCTGCATGAAGAAGATTTACCTATCCACCCGCACCCACCCGACCCCCAACCCCCGTTTTTTGTGTTTGTTTTGTTTAATTTTTTTTTTAACTTGAAAAATAGCAATTTCATTAATTGACGTTTATTGTGAAACCTGTTATACTATGTTATGGATATTGTACTTCTGATGCTCTTAATTATTTTATTTCCGTCAAGGATAAAAGCAACGAATATGCACATTTTACTAATAAATTGATTGAGGGGGGGGGGGGGGTAAAAATTCACAGGTACTTGGGTCTTGGTTTATAAATATGTTTGTACCTTATTGATATGTAAAAATGTACTTTACTTTTTTACCTATCAATAAGGTACATACATATTTATAAACCAAGAACCAAGTATCTGTGTAAAAATTAGCTTTTAGCTCCCTATGAATAGGCTGAGTATTTGATACAAAAGACTAAGCTGCAATAATGTAGCCCTCTCCGATTTTTTTTTGTTTTTTTGTTTTTGATCAGATATTTTCTGGCCTTTCTCTCTGCCCCCCCCCTCCCCCCCTCAAAAAAGGAGAGGGCTACATTATTGCAGCTATAAAAGAGATTGTATTCAGAAATTAACTGTGCATTGATTAATGCGCAAAATCTTACATCTTTAATTGTATTTGAACAATACCTTATTCATTAATTTTCTCTTTTCATGTAAGCAAGTTTATTACGAAGTACAAATTGTACTTCGGGTTCGTTGCCACGATGCTCTCAGTAAGGAATATGTACAAATTTACCGATAAATGTATTAGGAAAACCTACTACATACATGTATATGTAATAGTCTTTCGATATATAATTATATTCACAACTTATAGTGTTATCAGTGATTTACCATTATTTCAATTATGACCATTTACACAAAAGCTTTTTTTTATGGTCATGTAGCTATAATCGCCTCGTTTTTTTCTTAACATCGGGCTCGATGCTATATGATGTTCTAGAAGCTTCCGTCAATATAAAGATCGGTGAATGACGAAAATATTTTGCACATTTCCCTTTTTAATCGGTTATCACAACTTATTTCTTTTATATAATTTAAATCAAGTTTTGATTGAATAATTCAGTGATGACGTTTTCTGTAATAAATAAACGATTGCTTGTTGTCAGTTTCATTAAAAATTGCCAGTAACTTAGATCCGCCAACCGGAAACGCCACCATACTCACGTTTTAGCTATTTCATGGCTGTTTATAGAAAATGAAAGTAGACTTTTAATTTAATGTACGATATTTACTGTGCGAGTGAAATCTAAATATAGTTTACGGACATCAGCTTGTACCTAGCGTATTGTTAGAGGAGTAAGTGAGAACTCTGGTGCACCCATTTCGGAGTTTATTTGCAAAATTTATTAATTTATAAGTATAGATAGGAAGTCACACTAAATATTGCACGAAAATGTCACTGCCAAAGCGTGAAAAAAAAAATGGCACCTGAAAGACCACTAACAAGTAAACAAAATGTCGAAAAAAAATTCCAAAAGTAATTCTAAGGGGCAAAATAACAAAATTATCGCATCAACATTAAAAAGAACACCTGAAAATAATAATATATATACAAAAATATGCGAAATATATATCAAATCTATGAAAAACGTAATGCAGACGATATCACCCACGTGCTTAGTGAAAACACGAGTGACAAGGGAAAAATATCAATTTGACACAAAAAAATACCTATAGGCTTGCAAAAATTATTTAAAATATCGCACACAACGTTTACTGAAACGCACGTGTAAGAAAATATGTAATTATGTCAAAAATATTAAAAATTGTCGCACACAACGTTTTATGAAAATGCACGTGTACATGTACGTGTGAAAATACGAAGTTTCAAAAATATGCACAAGGTACACAACGTTTATTTAAACGCTCGTGCACAAAAAAATATAGTTGCAAAAGCAACGGCACACAATGTTTTTTAAAACACACATGTACTAGTTTTAAGAAAAACAAAAATGGTTTATTTACAACAATTCACGACAAAAAACGTTAAATAGACTTGGCCAAATTGTTAGAACCTCGTGCTTCAACGTTTAAACAACGCTCGTGCACTATGAGTTTCCGTATAAAGTGTCACAAATTGACCGTGAATAATTTAACAAGACTCGGTTAATACTGAATTTACCGGTGAGGCCAAAATTGTCGTGTCGGTGTACTAGAGCTCTCGTACTAACTTTAAAATAACGCCCATACGACAAAGGACTATAGTCGGTAACGACCAATATTTGTCCCCAAAATCAAACTTTTACGAAGAAATCTATAATTATGTTCTAAACCAGGGGGATATCTGCAGACTTCAAAGCATTAAATATTTTCATCAGCCGTGACGGCATATGTTAGATAAGACGTCAGAAAAATGACGTAAATTCAAAATTTCCATGATTTATAGAAGAAAAGGTGAATAGTAGGTGTCCAGTCACTTCGTACACGAACCGAGTCGTACACAAACCAACTCGTATACAAAAAGTCAACTCGTACACAAAAACCAGAAGTCAACTCGTACACAACATTTATATACAATCGTTATGATTTAATTTTATACAAATAATGTTTGATAACACGAAGTGTTACTTTTCTTTAAGTTTTTTTTAAGTTTTTTTCCCTAAATATTTAAATAATTCAACTTTATTTTTAACAATAAGAGAATTCATTATCATAAGACATGAACTTTATATTGTCAAAAATGTGGCCTATATCAGTGTCAGAAATAAATTGGTTGTATCTGGATTTATCTGGATTTTTCTTGAAAGGATAGGAACATCAAAGACATCAATAAGTAGTACTATAGAGAGATAGAGAGTATATATATAATGACATCATGTGTCAATATTCATATAACAAAATTATGTACGACATACATTCCGGAAAATCTTGTCAACAAATTAATCTGCGCATCGCATCGCGCATATGGTATATGGAAATTCAGAGGCATAAACTAGTTAAAAATGTACAGAAAACACATTTGTGTACGAGTTGACTTCTCAATTTTTTTGGAAACTATGGCAAATATTACCTTAAATCACATAGGAAAACGTATGTATGAGTTGTGTACGAGTTGACTTCTGGTTTGTATACGAGTTGACTTTTTTTTTGTGTACGATTTGACTTTTTGTATACGAGTTGGTTTGTGTACGACTCGGTTTGTGTACGAAGTGACTGTAAATCGAATATTACGTCGATATTTTGAGTAAAAGTCACAGAGCGCAGTTCTGCTCCAACTCAATGTTTTGATATAATGCGTAGAATGATGATATCAATGAAATATGTGAAATATTGTTATGGAGCAGGTTTGCACTCTATAATTAATGTAGTAAAAATTTGTCCATTTTGTCCTCCTTCTGAAAAATAACGCAAAATCCAAATAGTTTGCGACATCAGACACAAAAATTGCCAATAACCTTCTTCGAAATTAATTTTTTGTTTATTCAGATTTTTCATATTATGTATACAATTCAGTACATTTCTAGAAATTTTCAGAATTTGACTTTTATGGGGGCAAAATATGCATACACCGCATTTAATTCTTTATCTAAACAGTAGTTTGCAAATCATATAAAAGTAGGAAAATCCTACCTGCGACGCTAGTTGTCGTGTAACCTAGTTAATATGTTATACTAACTCGATATGCGTATAATAAAGGCTGGCGCCTTACCTTAAACAGGCGACAGCAAAACATGGTAAAGATACATAGGATGGGCGAGTCCAGGCATACATCATGGAAAATAACACACAAACAATAACGTAGACAGGAAAACAGGAATAAGGAAGTGTTCTTTGTTAGACTTCAGGACCAGGACTGAAGCTTCAGTACGCCTAAGACGGAGCATCACGTGACATGCCCATTATGTGTGTTGGCCAGGGTCAGAGGTCATGTACACAGAGAGGTAGTTGGGAGAGTACAATAATATGCAAACATAATTACACCATATTATTGTTTTGCTTCTTTTACACTTTCTACATGTATATATGCACCTTTTGGTTCTTAATCACCTCTGCTTTGTGCTAGTTGGCTAGATGACAAATAAGTATGGTGTGCAGATGCCATTTTCTTTCATTACAAAGAAACAAATTTTAAACTGGGAACAGATAATTCTGGAATGCATTTTACAAGATGTACGTTTCCAATGATCAATTATGAAAAATAATAATTGATCATCAAGATCGGTTGCATTTTTTCAACAATTGATTTTCTCTGATCATCGGTACAACACTAGCCATACAATGTAGGTTCTACGTTAAAGTAAACAAAATACATATATAAATGTATCATTGATAACATTTATTTTCAAATAAGAACATTTTCAAATCAGATAATTCTGAATTTCAACTTTATTAAATAAGACAAAAAAAGTTAGAGAAACAAGACTAAAATATTTGGATATCTCACTCAAGGAAGAAAAATGAAAATTTCAGATCCCTGAGTGAATTTATGATCAGGTCACAAAAGGATGTACAGTATTGATACTTTATCAAAATGGAGATACACTAAAAATTGGTTTTACATATGCAATACATTGACATAATTGCTCAGCTTCAGTTTTTAATCCTAATTGTTTTTAAAATATTTAAGTGCATGTTTAATAATTAAAATCCCATGTCAACATATTTTATGCAATATAACTTACATAAATCCAGATACAACCAATTTATTTCTGACACTGATATAGGCCACATTTTTGACAATATAAAGTTCATGTCTTATGATAATGAATTCTCTTATTGTTAAAAAATGCCTACACTTTCCCCATTAAAAATTTGTATGATTCATATTTCATTGATCATAATATTAGTTCACCCCTTACTACAATAACACCTCCCCCTATGACAGTATGACAGTTTGATTATCCTCTGGTATAACCACATACACAACCTCTTCCCCATTCTCGTCCCCCTGGTAAATGATACTGTCTGACGGCATGGTAATATGAGTGGCCTCCCCTGAATACAGTGCCGCCAGATTAGCTGCTGTAGCCTGGGCTGCCTCTCCGTCAGCCTCAAACTGGATCGTGGACACGGCTGAATTTGTCTCGCTTGGTTGACCCTCGCTGTTAATCTCGAATGGAATCGTGACATGAGTCTCGACCACTTCCTCCGTGACCCCTTCCTGGGGATTGTCGGCGGTGGAGACGGGGATGTACTGTACGATGTTGTTCTCACTAACGCTGGAGGCTGGGGTGTGGATAACTGTGATTACACCATCCTCCTCAATGGTCTGAATGTTTGGACCATCACTGAAACATTAAAATTGTTGATATTCCATTTGTAGAAACATATTTATGCTTTACCCTTTTTTAAACAATCACTTTAGCAGCTATTGGTAACAAATTCGCATGAGTTATCTTCCTTGACATTTTATCTATATTATACACAAATACATTTTTTTCCTGAAATAATTCATCTTTTATCATTTAATTTTGCATTTACCCACATTTATATAAGAATCAAATATTTTAATCATTTAAAAGAATAAGACCTCAACTACAAAATCAATTGACCAATTTAGATCTGTGAACAAAGTAGCAAGAGTTATGCTTCCTGTTATAAATCTATGCTTGTGTGTGGGCAAAGTGAAAATGTTCTCCCAACATCAAAAACTTCTACATGTATTAGTATTTACCCAGTTCTGTCACACAAAAAGAGATTTTTTATGCTACAAATACTGTTCACATCTCCATTTTTTAATCTCTCTGATTACACATATCCAAAATCAACAGTTCTATCTACTTACAGTGACACAATCTTGGTCCTGACCGGCTCCTGCATGTGTATCTGTTTGATGTGTCGGTTAAGCTTGGCTTTCTCTAAGAACCCCTTACTGCAGTAGTCACACTGATGTCTGTAGATACCATCATGATTGTCCAGGTGACTCTGAAGCTTGAACTTAAGGCGGAATCCTGTGAAGAAAAATGTAAATATGTGAATCCTGTCATAATTGTACAGGTGATTCTGTAAACAGATTCTGCATAAATCAGATAGAATTCTGCAGGGAAAAATATCTGCTCAAGTTCAATGCACAGCTACAACCAATTCTTATTAAATTAACTGGTTATACCAATATTTAATGATATACTCATAAGCGAAAAATGCAAATGAATGCTACATTTAAATCCTACATTAAATATATCATTGAAGATGAAATTAAATGTACAAATTATACTTGTACACATTAAATATGTGTTTAAAGCAAAATTCCAACACATGCTTTTTGAAATATTTTTTGTAAAAATATTGAAATTTCAAAAAGCTGACAAATTCCCAACATTTGGCTCTTTGACAAAAATGACTTGACAAGAAAGTATGATGAAATTCCATAATTCAGGAAACAGACAAATTGACAGTGCAAATTCAGTCTGTATACCCTTCCTTACCTTTGCCACAGATGTGACAGATGTGGGGGTTCTGCCCAGTGTGGGAGTATGTGTGGAACTTCATCCTCTCCTTACTGACAAAGCCCAGACCACAGTATTTACACTTATAGGGCCGCTCTCCTGTGTGGAGACGACGGTGACACTGCATAGCTCCCATCTACAATATAAAATAACTGGTAAAGATTCATAGCTGATATTAGGCTTACAGCTGATATTAAACTTATAGCTGATACAGACTTATAGCTGATACAGACTAATAGCTGATATAAGACTTAAAGCTGCTATAAGAAATAACTGATATAGTTATAGCTGATATTAGGCTTACAGCTGATATTAGGCGTACAGCTGATATTAGACTTAAAGTTGTTACTAGACTTTTAACTGATATAGACTAATAGCTGATATTAGACTTACAGTTGATATAAAACTTTATGAAAAATTAAAAAAAAAAAAATTATTTCTTCTTATACATTCTTTTCATTGAATAACTGTGGTTTGTACAATATTTCACTGAAAACTCAAAGAAATCTTAATTTCTCACCTGAGTGAATGCCCGATCACAGATGTCGCAGACATAAGGTTTTTCCCCTGTATGTCGTCGCCGGTGACACTTGAGGATGTTCTGCTGGGTGAATGACATAGGACACAGGTCACACTTGAACGGTCTCTCTTTACTGTGGACTCGACTGTGTTTCTGTAGGTCAGCCTTCTCAAAGAAACGCTTCCCACATTCCTTACAAACCTCATTACGAATCTGGCAATTTGACCAAAAATATCTTTTACAAAAATTATGTGCAGAACATTCAAATTTAAAATTTAAATTTCAAATTTTTAAATATGCTAATGCATAAATACTCTGGAAAATAAGATTATTGGGATTTCTGTCCATATTATTGTATGAACTGGATTTCTGATAAAATATTTGCACTTCACCAATCTTCTAAATGCACACATGTGACATGTAAATGCATAAGATTTTTACAAAATGAAATGGTGATACAAGTAATAACAAACTGTGAAAAATTAAAAATATAAATTCTTTCAATTCCTACTGGATTTTAACACCAAAAACAAACATTGAGATGTAGATAAAAAATGGATCAAAAACTTGACACCTTTGAGATATTTCAAACATGTGGCATAAGAAGTACAGTTTCCATCTTACCTGAGTGTGGAGATATTTATGACGTCTGAGATGTGACAGCTGAATGAAGCGTTTTCCACAATCCTGACATTCGTATGGACGCTCACCTGTGTTATAAATCGATTTCTTATTTGTACATACATGTATGTCACTATTTTTTTTTTACATTATGTTATTTGTAATCAGCAAAAATCAAAGATCTCTCTGATTGTTTTCCCATCAGTTAAAAACATTTTACGATGCCTTTTGTTGAATGTGAATGCATTGTAAAGCTCTTGATGAAGTCTCGAAAATGTTTAAAATAATTTCCAAGGCGAGTTCAGATAAATTTTACTGTAATAGCCTAAAGGATATCATGGACAGTGCTTGTGAAAATGCTTTAAATTCAAGTTTACATTTAAATACAGAAAGCTATAATCCCCAAAGAGAATCCTACAGGATCTATAGACATCCTCTACATAAATGTGTATGATACCGATTTCTACAGACAGCTATATATATAAACTCCTGTATACCTGTGTGTATTCTGATGTGATTCTCCAAACTCTTCTTCTCCCCGAATCCTTTCTGACAATGTGGACACACAAACGGCCTCTCTCCTACAGAAACAAATATTTGTACATATAAGAACATCAATATATGATCAAAACTCAACCATGACCTTTGATTGCCTGAACCCTGTCTTACCTGTGTGTTTGACCATGTGTCTCTTTAGGTGCCCTTTATTGTAGAACTTCCTATCACAGTGCTCACACTGGAATTCCTCAACTTCATCCCCCTCAGGCGGGTGACAGAACTTTACATGCTTCCTCAGGGTGTCCTAGTAAAGAGGAAAGAGTTATCTTTCTTGAACAATTCAACAAACATAGTGGATGACAGAATTTTACATGGTTCCTTAGTGTGTCCTAATAAGGAAGGAAGGAGTTGCTTCTCTTGAAAATTCATACTAATACTGTGTATTACAAGGTATAATCCTAAAGTTCATCTTCAGAAAATTCACATTTTCATACAAACTTCATACTGTGTCAATATTATTTAGAAGAAAAAAATTCAGAAAATTACAAATGAAGAAAATTCACAAAAGATACAAATCTTTATACTGCAAAAAAACTGGACCAATATGTTTCATATATATGTACCACAATATGTACACTGTCTAGAAAGAAACTTACCTTGTCCTTGTACGACCTTGGACAGACCTCACACTTGTACATCCTGACCTTGGTGTGGGTCATGATGTGGCGCTTTAGGTGGGTGATCTTAAAGAACCGCTTAGGACACATGCTACACTGGTGGATCCTGTCTGGCACCTCTGTGTGAGTCCTCATGTGGATCTGGTACAGCCTATCAAATTAAACATAGATTACTGAAATCCTTACAAATAAAAAGAAATGAGAGAAAAATGGCCAATCAGCTGGTACAGTTTAAATGTACATCATACGGAAATATTGCTTATCAGGTTGCAATGTCTAATATTTAACAGGGAGAAAAGCAAACTTTTAGATTTTTATGGGACAATCTATTTATCTGTGAAACACAAATGATAAACAAATGCCCTAGCTACTGCTGGTGCAACTGTTACCAAAATATAAAATGTACAGTTTATTTTTCTTATGTTATAATGATATTCTACAGCACCAGATGAATTAACTTTTCTTGAGGAAAGACGCCATCACAGACTATAATTTTATTAAATGAGTGTGCTTGCACCCACAAAGTAAAATCAAGAGTTAGCTGTCTGACAAAATTGGTTTTTATTAGATCTCACTATTGGAAATGAATGATGCATGAACTTTCATGCTACTGAAAGACATATGAAAACATTATTTGACAGTCATCAATAAATTAAATTTCTATTGGTAAATGAATAGAAATTGATTAAAGGTAAGGGGATAGAAAAATAATCTTGTGACTTACTTGGGGATAAATTGATGTGACATACATGGGGATAAACTGATCATGTGACTAACTTGACCTCTATGGATTATGTGACTTACTTGACCTCTGTAAAGCTCTTGTCACAGTATTTACACTTGTGACTTCCACTCTCGTCTACAGGAATGGCATCATGCCTCTCCCTGTGCTTTATCAGATATTTCTACAAGCAAAGAGTATAACTGGCTTGAAGATTAAATATGAAAAAAAATTATAACACATCTTCAATATCTTCTTTAATGCATATTAACTTTTGCATAAATATTCAATAGTCTTTATTAATACATGTACATTTAGAGACTTGTTACAAGTCTGGAACAACCCTCCTTACTAGCAAGAATATCACTTTTGAAATAATATATGCACCTGATTCAGATATACAAGCAAGGCAAAGTATGTATATACCTGTAGAGAAAATCCCTTCCCACAGAAATCGCAGAGCCATGCCTTCTCATCTGTATGAATCTTCTCATGTTCCTTCATCGTGTAGTAATACTTAAACAGCTTCCCGCACACACTACAACCATACCTCTTCTCAGGGTGTGCAGCTGACACATGTCTCTGAAGCTTAGTATACTTGTCGAACCGAGTTGGGCAGAACTTACATGGAAATGGGTCATGCATGTAATGATCGGCCTCCAGGTGTATATCTAGGTCAAGGATAGTCTGGCAGGTGAAGGTACAGTGTGGACAATTGTGCTCTCCGAACTGTTTGTGTCGATTGTCGTAGATGACGTTGTCCGGGCTCACGCTGTCAAGGGATTCCGTCTTCATGCCTATGTCGCGGACTTCCCCCTCCTCCAACACGTCCCCTGTCAATGTACTGTCTTGACTCTCCTCGTTCTGGATTTCCTGTAGACAAAAAGTTTTGTTGTATATTACAGAATTATTTTCTGGCCACATTATTTTCATCCTATCACACCTGCAAATGATTTGCTCTATTTTATATTAGCCCAGATGCAGGTGACAATAAAAATAGTAGTGTTAAAAGAGAGATAACTCTGTCTGACAACAATGCAAAAAGGGCAAAATGGAGAAAAAATCCCTGTATACAGTATTTCACATTTAATGTGCATGCATTTTATTTTCTTTCTCATCTTTTTAATAATGCATAAAAAAAGAAAGGAAACTCACAAAGACCAATGAATGTATTCTTAACATATCTAACTTACATGCATTTCTTACACAAAGACATTTGCCTTGATCATGTTGATCAGATGTGCAAAAAGAGAATCTGAACACAACTTATTTCTTTTCATGGGCTACTTTTTCCCATTAAAATTTTATTACCTTCTGTATGCAACATGAAAAAATTATGAGAAAAAAAAAACAATCTGCCAAAGTCTACTTTATTAGAAGGACTTCAAAATTATATCATTTCAATTCCTAATTCCTTTGAAAATGAATTATTCATACTTCTTGCTTACCTCAGAAGGATCAAACATTTTAGAGTCAGTTTTAGGTGTTAACACTGGTTCATAGTTATCATCCACAGACTCCACCACCTGGCCCCGCCCCAGTTTGATCCACCCATGCATTCTGATGAGATGTTGGTGAAGGTCATACCGCCTCATGTACTTTCTTTTACAGACATTACAGCCATAATTCTTCTGACCAGAATGAGTGATCAGATGCTTCCTCATGTATTTGGGATCCTGAAAATTTCAGTAAAATGGTTAATTTAATAATGTTCATACATCTCTGAAAATTTCAGGCTTTCTACCTAAAATATACATGGGATGTGCCATTTCATTTAAAACTGAACAAGTATCTTGAAAGTGATTGAACATTTTAAAATATGTATGTGATGTGTTTAAAATATATATATTCAAGTATGTCCTGAACTTGATAAAGTCTCTTAGTATCACCAGTAGTTAAACAATGTTTGCTTTAATCATTTTCAATGCTTCTATAAATTGTATTAGTTCTTAGTATAAAATTGACATCACAAACCTTAAAACGCATTCCACAAATAGCACAGTCTGATGATGTCAAGTCCACCATCTTCTCAATCTCTGCCACATCAAGATAATCAGCCTCAGATAATTCCCTCTCTTCATCAGAAGGAATCGACTCCACCACAACCTTCAAGGGCAGCTTCTCTTCTTTCACTTTTACTTCTGCCTCCTCTGTTTTCTGGTCCCCTTCCTCTGTTGTCTGGTTCTCTGCCTCTCCAGCCTGGCTTTCTTCCTGTTTTTCTTCTTCTGTTCCTTCACCTGCGGCTTCTTGTCCAGCTTGTGCTTCTTCATTATTTTCAGCTTGTGCAATCTCCTCTGAAGACTTCAACAAAGCTTCAGCATCTATTTTATCTGCTGCACGATTGACTTCCGCCATTCCAGAGTCAGGATGCACCTTTCGCTTCGGAGTAAGCTTCAGCACCTGTATAGCTTGTTTCATATTGAGAAGAATCTTCCTCTTTCTTTTAGATCCTTTGTAATCCTCATCGTCATCTTGTATCATTGCTAATGCTCTTCTACTGGGACCTCTTCCTCGACGACGTTTAGCTGGTGGAGGATCATCCGACTGAGATGGTCTCCACTCCCCACCATCGTCTTCTTCTTCCTCCTCCTCCATCTCCTCCTCCTCTGCTTCCTGTTCCTCTTCTTTCTCTTGATCTGCTGCCTGAGACTCCTCATTCTGTCCTTCTTCAGACTTCTCTTTATCTACTTCCATCTCTTCCACTTTCTCACCATCTTCTTTCACCTCCTCAACTTTGTCTGCTGAAGGCTCTATAACTCCTTGAATGGAACGTGTTAAGTCTTCTATACTTTCTGTGACCACTATGGTCTCTGAACCTGCCACAATGATTGTCTTGATATCCACTGGAGTTGGACCAGATTCAACACTCTTCTTCTCTTGATCAGACTTTCCTTGATTTGAAGTCTCCATTTTCTTTACAATAGCTATGGACTGTGAACCACCTGCCACAGCTATTGCTGGTTTCTTCTGGGGAGTGCCAGTTTTTGCTGATGTCTTTCTCACTGTCTTTGGAGGTGACGTCAAAAGAGACTCCCTCTTACACCTCTTTTTGTGAACCAGTAACAAATACTCCATCTGAAAAGTCTCCTTGCAGTCGTCACAGGTAAATACCGTCTTCTTCCTTGTAGACTTTCTCTCCCCGCTTGGTGACTCTTCTACTGATGTATCTAACTTTGTCCTCAAGTCAGTCACCCTGGTGCCACGCCTAGTTTTACCTGGCCCTGTAGGACTTTCCTCAACTTCCTTCTCCTGAACATCCCCATTAGCTTTTGGAACTGGTGTTTCCTTTTTCTTTGCAGGTGTCTCTCCATCATCCGGATTCTTCTTCGGTCTTCCTCTCCCCCTCTTTGGCTGGTCATCTGGTTTGCTAGGCATTTCCTTTGAGGGCGTTGGCTTGGGTGTCAATCTAGGTCGACCCCGCCCTCTTTTGGGCGTGGCATCTGCTGGTTTTTCTTCCTCCTCTTCCTCTTCGTCTTCCTCGGTCTCTTCTTCGTCTTTGTTATCACCAGTGAACTGGGAAAACCAGCTTGTTAGGACTGACTTCTCTGGAACCTGTGCTTTTTTCATGTCATTTCCTGTAGAAAAGTTTCACAACATTAAAACACCAAGACTAGTAAGGAAATCTAATGAAATAACAATTTTTGGTGAAAATATGACACAGTTATCACACAAATATACACAAATGTAAAATGAATTCTCTTTAAATTCATATAAGATTATCTATATGTTAATTAAAACTCATTTTTTATGTTATTTGCAAAAAAGCTGAAAAACGTGTGTATGTACAGAGATTAATCCAGGTTTTGGTGAAAACAACCGTTTTATGAGAAATTAGGAAAATCAGTTGGGGGTCTGGGGGCCCAGAGCCCTGCAGGGGGACAAAGGTCCCCAGCCGAAGGTAAAACATTTTTGCATCCATCAAAATGTACAGGTGTCGAGATACACCAGGCATACCATGGCAAAGACGCCATCACATCTTGTACAGGAGTACAACATAGTCTTATCTTTGTAGTCTTTTAGTGTAAGTTTCTTTTATATTTGAAATTATTTATCATTTCTGTATAACTATTGTATAAATTAATTCATAATTATCTATATTATTCATAATTGTTTGGCAAAGTGTGATAGTTATTTTTTATTTATTTTTTATGTACTTTCTTCAATATTTTAAATAGCCATCTATGTGCAACATGATACTTCATAAATTAACTTATTCTAAAATAATTCGAATGACATTACCAGGTCTTACATGTACGAAGAATTTGATACAATTTCCACAATTAAAAAAAAATATTATTTGAGATTTTTAAGAGTATAAGGGGAATTTTTTTTTACTCATCAAAAGAGTGGAAAATGAGATATTATGGGAAAATTTTCTCTTGGGGAAAAATACCGAATATCGGTAGTACATATGACCTAGATTAATTCCTGGTGTATCGAATCACAATTACAATGAGTACAAAAAAAGAACCTTGCTTGGATGTGGTAAGATGTTATTGTTCCCAATCAGTGACCAAATGTACATATATTTATGCATCCATTTCCTTGTGCAAAATAAGTACTTTTTGTTGCCTTTTCTTCCTGAACAAATTCTTAAACACTGAAAAATTCATTTCAAATTTCTGTGGAACTAATATGGCATTTATTTTCTCCACCAAACTTTTTTTGATTTTCTATATCTCAAATTTCGTTTGTTGGTTTTTAGAGTTATTTCCCTTTCAGTAATGAAATACACAAAGTGCATATGATGTGTATTAAACATCAGAATGTCCCCAGCTATTGATTTTCCTAGTCTGTTGTATACAATATTCATGAAATTTTTACTTTGCTGCCCTCTCCTTTCCCTCTCAAAACAATTTTTGCCAATGCTGACAGACATATATGTACACTCTCAGCCTGTTTAATGCTTGTAGGTCAAAAAACTAAGTACCATTCCACCGAGAGTAATAAAAAAATTGCTTTCAGGTCAATGGAAATGGAACAGTCTAAATTTTTACAATTAGTTCTTAAGTTCATCTAGAAAAATATGTTGCTTTTTTTTGTTTTTTTTAAGATTTCACTTCAGCAAACTTGTTATCATTTTTAAGAAATAATCAAATAAAAATACTATATATTGTCACAGCTCTGTAAGTTGATTTATAGTCAGAGTAAATTTTGAATTACCATTTACAAGGATAGTTCTACTTCCCCTTTGTTTATGACAGGACACAGACAAAAACTGTCAAAAAGCTGACAAAGTGAGTTTGGTCATGTTCTTTTGTAAAGAAAACAAACGGCATCCAACACAGAAGGTTCATAAATTGGGGGAAAAAAAAACACTTTATTTTACATATGCTGCTTAGACATAAGTTCAACTGGAAAAGCCAGTCAACTCATCATGACAAAACAAGTACAACAACAACTTCAAGGATTTTTTCCCTGACATCTTACCTGCACAGTATGCCATGAAAAACTGTCCTAATTTTGGATTGTCCTTCAGGAACTTGAGCCCCTGGGGTGAGCCACAGAAGCCTGTGTCCTTGGTCATCTGACTTGTTAATATCAAAGTCTCCACCCCCAGATCTAACAGGGACTTAACCTAGAAAGTATAAAAGCACAGTACAATTCAGAGGCAATTTCAGGAGTAACAGAGTATTTGTTATAAACAGAGTTGTGGAAAACTTTTTCAGATAGCCAGTCATTCGGACTGGCAAGAAGACAAAATAAGCCGGTCCAAAGTGATTTTGCCGGTCCGAAATAGTAAGTCGCAAAATAAAAAAAAAAAAAGCATAACATCTATTTACTTAATAATGATATAACATTCAGTCTCCATTTCCAAGTCCTCCTCCATTATAACAATACTAGATTTCACCGCTTTTGGGCAGGTGACAATGCTAATTCAGCATAGTAAACATATTTTTTTGAAACACTTATGCATTTGGAAATTACATTAACCTAGAAAATGAGGTACGATAATTAAGCTGGGAAATGCGCTGATGATAAATGTAAAACAAAAAACTTTAACCAAAAAAGGGGTCGGTCATTTGGACCGACATCGATAGCATTTTCACCGGTCACACGCATTTTTTGTCGGTTTTGCCGGCATGACCGGCAGTTTTCCACAACTCTGTATAAAGGAAGATTTCATATTAACAAACATAAATACTTATCCTCATTTTGTCGATTAATCCATATAAATTATTTTTTTTTTTTACTAATTTAATATTTTTATGAGTGATGAGCTCAGTTTACCATAATACATGTAACAAGTACTTGAAGATATTTAAAGCTTAGATATACCTTTCATCATCTTATATTGTGTTTACTTGTTTGCATCTTTGAAGTAAAGAGATGTCTTTCTTTCAGAGTAGACATTGTTAAAATTTCCATTTCACAGAAGTTTCATTTGACACAAACTTACCAAAGCTTCAAACTGCTGTTCCACAACTTCCCAGACAATCTTAGATTTATCTCCCTTACTGGGGGAACCCCCTTTTACTGTAATTACAAATGTTAAAATATTAATTTTTTTTTCTAATTGAATTCACAGGTTTTCCCCCATCAATTATTGAGGCAATTTTATTTACTCTTTTAGCAAATGTATGTGTCCCAAAATTTGATATTCTCAAAGAAATATGGTAGAAACATTTATCATGTATACACTGTGCACATAGATATACATACCTTTTAGATCCACTCCATCTACCAGTGCAATCTTGTCCTGCAGGAACTTGGTACCTTTAGCTGACCCGCAATACTGGTAGTTATGGCTCGTAAGAACCAGGCTTTCAACATTGGATCCACCCAGCGTTTTACACTGAAAATAAACAGAAAACAACCAACTTTCAATAAATGTTAAAAAGCCCTTTGCACATAGATTTTAATGTAGTTACATGTACAGTTACAATCAAAATCACAGTAAGGATTGCCTCCCTTCTCAAAAAATTGTTCTATTAGCATCTAAGCTGCTATTTTAACATCTTTAATTGAGGTATTTGGTTATATATTCTTAGAGATTGATCTCAGACTACTAAATGAATTTCATCTTTGTCCCTTTGAAAACACATTTTCAGGGAGGTGTTTTGCAAATGTTAAAGCACTGTATCTGCAAAATGTAGATGTGGATATAAAAATTACCAATGCCTGGAACTGGGATTTGACAATGGACCACACAACCTGTCCTTGTTTCTTTTTTCCAGCTGCGACCCTCGGACTTTTCCTTACTCCGGGATCCATACTGACTGCATTCTGTAAAACAGAACGGTGACGGTAGGTTATTTTTGTAATTCACAGATATTTTTCTATAATATTATATCAATTCCTAGATATCATTGTAAATTAATAAATTTGATAAAAAAGTTATTTGATATACACCTGACCTGACCATGCATTATAAGTTACAGTTGTGACTGTGTATGGGATGAAACCTGGTCTATAATTAAATTTTCCCCGAGTCAGGAAAGCCTACTCTGGGATTAAATTAATTAACAAGGTATCATTTTGTACCCAATCACTACATGACTATGTAACAAATTAACCCCATCAACGACATTGACATATATTCATGCATCTATGGTTTACAAAATTAATAGTTTTTTGTTGTTTTTTTCAATCTTGTCCGCAACAGAAAATCACCCCTGTTATATTGTTTAGCCATTTTTGTTTACTAAAGAATGATAACTTGATTTGACAGTGTATTGGCCGAGTTTATTTGTTACAAAAGAAAGATAACTCCATACTGACTATGAGTAAGTATTTCACTCCCCTTATGTAACAGGTGACAACCAAGGGTGATCACAAACCAGAATTTCATTGAGATTTTATTCAGAGGTGGGGTAAACATATATCACTTCTATGGATACCTTATACTCTCCCCATGCATATACATTTTTAAACATATATCAGTATATATATTTTTGCATGTATTTGTGCTTTGTAGATTATATGAAATACAGCAGTATGTGAATGGGCTTAATGCAGACATATAGCTGACCCATTTAAAGCTAGACCCTAATACTGAACTATTATACTGGGCTACATTTATTAACCTACACCACAAATTAAACTTCGTTCTGAAAATCAATGATAAGTAAATTCTAAAGGTCAGATTTTTTAGATCAAATTCAACAAATTGATTATTTCACCTGTCTAAAATATGCAAATAGTCTTATTTTCACAACCTCTTGTATACCATTTTACCCCTCCCCTCTTTTAGCATGTTTAGCAAAACTCCGAAGAGGTGGGTTGAAATTGTCTTGTAGGTCTATCAGTTTTTGTTTCAACAGTCTTTTATGGGTGTTAGCATGGATATATTGCACTTGCATCCCCAAATTTGTACACATAACGCCATGACGTCTAAATATTGGCTTCTCCTCGTCTTTCAGTGATGTCATATGTGCATATTCGATTAAAAATATGAGTGGGACTTCAAACATCCAAAATGCAGACTTTTAAAATAACTTATTCAGAATCGAACTTTCAGTCGATTGGTTTCTGTGTTTATTTTCCTAAAGTCTAAAAATTACAATTCCTAAACCGGATGCGGTATGGTCAAATGCAATAATATACAAAATCCGACTTTCTTACATTTCCTTGCCGTGCATACAAAGAGTAAACCATCCATAGTTTGATTTGTATATTGTTTGAGAATTAAATATAGTTACCAATATTCCCCGATGCCGTTTCGCCCTCTCTAGACGAAATATTGAAAACTAGGCCGCCAAACTGAAATGCAAATGGCGGATCTATCTCCGCGTCCGTCCGTCTTTCACCTTCGCCTGATCAATAAAGAAATCACACGAGCGTTTTGTTAGCATATCAGATAGGGGTTTTTACAAGCGTTTTTAATACAAAGATTAATAGTGCCATCTATCGACAAAGCTGTATTCCCGCCTTTATTTTTTTAAAACGTTTTAATTTTTGATAATTTATTTTATATTATATTTTATTTCACTTAATTCACAGTTGGTACCTATGCCAAAAGCATTAAAGAAATTAGCCTTAATTACACTTGTAACGTCGATGTGACAGTTTTTGGGCAAGTTCTACACCAGCCAGTTACAAAAGAGTTTTATGAAAGTATACTGACATCAAGAGTAACAAGTTTGGCTTTCCAGAAAGCCTGAAATGTCATCTCTTTGGCTTCATTAACGTCACAGAATAAACAGTGGAATGTTATTTTCTCAGCTATTACAGGCAGTAGTATCGCTTTTGAAAAAATGGGGGGGGGGGGTAGAGGACAAAAAAAATCGACGATTTTTCTGAACAATCTTTGACAAGGGGAAAAAGGGGCTATCCAAACTCAACATTTTCATTTCTTGGAAGGAGGGATTACAACTTTTCCGACAAACATATTTTATGTTATAATACATTCTCATGGGATGATTTGACGTACCATATTGCAACAAAAGGTGGAAGAGGGGTCAAGGGTGCGCCTTTTCAATGTTTGGGGAAAAAAGTGGAAGGGGACGGCCCTCCTGGTGCTATGTACCTGTATTATTTTACCTGTTGTAAATATGCTTTATTCGGTTTAAATATATTTTGTACAATGTCTGTAAAAAATTCTAACCACTGAGAAATATTCGTAAGAATTATTTAAAGTCATATATTGTGTTTTATATATATATATATATATATATATATATATATATATATATATATATATATATATATATATATATATATATATATATATATATATATATATATATATATATATATATATATATATATATATATATATATATATAAAAGTTCAGACTACCTAAATTAAAAAGATCTTTCTATTTGTTTTATTACTTTATATAAAAATAGGACTTTCCTGTAAATTACACAATTTAAATCAATCACGTTTCAAAGATATTAGAAATTTAAAGCAAAAACCGATTGATTTACCGATTCAGATTTTAATTAACAGACACAGTTTAATTTTTTTTTTTAATCAGTCGAACTATGGAAACATGAGGTTATTCAAGTTCAAAATCGGTGAAAAATTTAATTTCAACGTAAATAACATACATAATGTTTAGCTTCACCCAATCTCGTATTTTTATTTTTTAGCTCAGATACGCCATATATAGCTTTAACAATTATTCCGAAAGAAGATGGATAAAAACTTAGCGTTTCTTTTGACTTTAGTTCTTAGCCTCCTACCACGGCAGCAAAGAAGTTTTAAAGCGCCAACTTAAATTAATCTGAACCTGAATTAGTTCCAAGACTTTCCTTATTTTCCTTAATCGTATCCTCTGAAGTGACTTGGCCATCGAGCCACTGGGAATATCAAGGGAAAAATTGAGACACTCCTGCATCATGCCCTTCTGCTGCCCATTCAGATTCGTGTTCTAACGCTATATTATGTATAATATAAGTACATGTACATGTACATGTATACGCTCTTGGAAAAAAATCATGCATAGAAAGGTAATTATAAAATTGAAACGATACCATTTAAAATTAAGTATTAACACATCGAAAAGAACCCCAATCTACCAACATCGATTTTATAGGCTGTTCCATGAGACACACATTTTATAATTTTGGCTTTGTTTCAAGAATACGAGGAGTGATTTTTTTTTTACATTTTCTCATTGACAAAAAACGCAAATTAGAATTGCATAGAGAATATGATAACAGTTGCTTTGTTTATTAACTCTTAAAATCTGAGCCAGGTAAAGAAAACTGTATATTTTCCTAATACTTTTCTACAGGGGTAAAAAGAATATAGTGCACACATCCGAGAAAATACTCATAATGATTCTTTATGATCTTTATTCCAATGCCTGCAGCACTGAGTTACTTAAATCAGAGACATTTATAATTATGTTTCTGCCTAAATTGTGCTTTTAGGTAAAATTTCTTTTCTTCCAACTTTATTATTTATTTATTTATTTATTTTTTTTTTGAATAAGTTCTGTTTTATTTTTCATATATACGGCATTAATTATCGATTGACTAAAGTGCTCATAAAAGTAAAGTTTTTGCCATTGTATATATGCATTTAATGTGAGTTGTCATTTAAATATTTTCACTGTTTTCTTTCGTCAGTAAATCTTGGATCCACGCCTTGGCTTATACATTCAATATGCTATTTTGATCCCCGCGCGCTGACCATCGTTTTACGCAATAGCCTAGATGCAATGTTTATGTATATAAACCGTTAAAGAAGACCCACCACCACCCAAGTGATCCTACCTCTATTACTCTTAATGAACACTGATGTAGTTTTACTTTAACTTTAAGATGGACCATTTTGTTTAATAATAATAAGACAGACTTTGGTCAATTTTGTTTACATCTCTATATTTAGAAATCCTGTCATCGTCAGTCAGACCACCAGCTTATCAATGGCAGCTTACTGTAGGACTTTACTTCCGGTGATTCAAACTTAATGTGTCATCTCCCGAGGGAGATGACAATAAATGGGCGGATCCAGGCAAGATTTTTTTTTTCAGATGGGGGGGGGGGGGGGGGCAGGCACATCACCTGTACAAAATGTCAGACTAATAATTTTTTTGACAGCGGCACAAATCAACTCTTTTTATATACAGATATATGATTTTTTTTTTTTAACGTGCTGATTTCAGCGATTTTTTTTTCATTTTTATTTTAATGAGTTTAACACATAATGCACAAAATGCACCATCCTGAAACTAAGCGCGTATGTTTTTATATAATCTTTAGAAACAGTTCATTTTTTATATAATTGCACATTTTAGATCAGAGTTTGGATTCTATGCAAAATGTTGAAAAACAGCCATATAATTTTTGGAAATTTTTTGTATGATTTAATTGGTAAGAATGACACTTGTGCATCATGACGTCGATCCAAACACAAGAACCAGAAAGTGAATTATGTCATTCTCAACAGATATGCAGTCACCATGAGTCCAAGTAATATCAAATGTATTGTCAAAACAGGCATTTTAGGCCTGTAGGAAGCAATTTCACTTTGAGGGGGCACAACCATACATTTTCAGTTGAGGGGGCACTATCAGCTTCCAAAATTCCCTGACAAGCAAAAAAAAAAAAAAAAAAAAAAAAGGTCATCAGACTTATTATTGAGGGGGCACAAGCATATAGCAGCTATGTTTTCTATAGTATTCTATATATCGGCAAAATTATTGGGGGGGGGGGGGGCAAGGCCCCCCCCGTGCCCCCCCCCCCCCCCGGTTCATACGGCCATGATTTTATTTCCGTACGTATTTTGTTTTTATTCTCTAGTATAAAGAATTAAAACG